AGAATATCGATTTCCCATGATCCAGTAGTAAAATGCATAAAACCAATGCCAGTGTTTATAAATTACAAGATATAGAGAAGTTCATGAGCTTAGAGGTAAAATATACCTTCAAAATACAGGACTCAAATATGTTCTGTGAATGATAAGGTTATTTTTTCCCTCAAGGTTTTAAATTTGTGTTCTTATGAATGAGATGATAAAGTTGGTAAATTTTATGTTTTCAGTGTAGTACCTCAGTTTAGTTTTCTAATTGCTGGCATTTTTTTTTCTTTTCTATGCTTTCTTGGATTGCTTTTCTTTTCCTCCCCTCCTTCTCACCATTTTCTGCCTTTCTTAGTAAAGTAATATCATAGTAAAACTGGCAAACATGAGACTTCATTTTCATCTCCTACTGAAGAATGTGAAATTAAACCAATCTAAACTTTGTTCTTAATCCAGAGAGATTTCTTGGGAGCCTAGCAGAACTAGCACCCTCTCTAGACACACACCTTTTCTTGTTGCTCAGATGCTTGTCTTTGCTGGAGAAAAGTCTATATAGTAGTCCATAAAGAAACAGCATGTACAGAGATTACACATCCATGGAAACTGCCCACTTAAAAATACTATCTACGTCAATCTTGAACACTGATGTAAAACATTCAACTATGTATTGATTCATACCTTTTCCATGCGTATCTGTGGTGAATTGGTAGTTAGATGACGTGAAGTCCAACAGAGATGCTGATGCTTTCCCTTACTACAGGGTCAAACAAAATGCGTCATATTTTATTAAGCAGAATTTAGGCCCCTCCATCCTACCTGTCTCGGAGTAGCTTGTCACAGTAGCTTCAGGTATATGGGGTACATACCTTACCATAGAATCACAGAATAGTTAGGGTTGGAAAAAAAACAAAGGTACCAAAGTACGTACTTATTCCAACCTCAGGGTTTTAACAGGACTGATACTGTGGGTTACTATACCCCTCTTCACAGTTGCTGTACAGCTTGAAGTTAAGTATAAAAGATAAAAGTCTGAATCCTTGCAGACTAAGGTGGGTTAAAACCCGTATCTTCCACTTCTTCAGCAATTACTTAGCATCAGTAGAGGAGAAATTTAGGCCTTGTCTCTTCCAAGATTATACACGACACTCAAATCCCCCTTTTTAGACTAAGCAGACACTGCTGTCTGCTTATTACTTTGAATGATGCACTGCTGTGGCTTCTGTTTGAAAAGTTATCTGTCGGCTTGGCTTAATGTCAAAGAAAGTATGTTTTTCTTGTCAGACACATCACAGAATTTCAATGCAACTGGTTCTTGAGATTTTTCAGTCTAGCTCTAGACCTTACTTTGTTCAAGTGTTAATCACTTTGCAGAGATGAATGGATTTCAGATGTTCACCTGGTAGTGGCTACGTCTGACTGCTGCATTACTCTTACAGCAGCTACAATCTTGTCCATCATGAATGACTCAATGCTGAATCACAAACACAGTATGTTTTTTCTTGAGGGACTGCAATGGGTAAGGAAGAATTGCTTCTTTCGCTAAAGAGTAGTAGTATAGCACACTGGTATCTTCCTGTAAGAGGAAGCACTGCTAAAGGCTGATAACACCCTACTGTATACACCCATGATGTGGTCAACAGAGATGCTGGAAATAACAGACAATACTTTAACTTAAGCGTATGCTTCCCAGTAGCCATCAGCCTTAAGCTCTCCTATTTCCCAAGGTGCTATCAGCTATGAACATTATAGCAGTAATTGAATTTGCTTTTTATGATCATTGCAGGCTTTTACTGTAATATACAGAGGCTGCTGCTGTCATTATCATAATTTTTCTTACTTCAAGATTACATTAATGCAATAAAACGTCATCTTAAAAGAGCAGCCGCTGGAGAATACTACAGGTTACATGATACAAGAAGGGCTACCTAGACAAAAGCATAAGAGGGACTTCTGCTTGTGTCCAGACAGAAGTTAAGGTGCTGGGTAGTTACTAAAGACCCTTACATCACCACTAAGTTACCTTGAAACAAATCAACCATCCTCCCTCCCATCCTTAACATCAATACCACAGAAACTATTCCCCTTACCCACAGGGTATGTTCACCTAGTTCCATGTTTCCCCGCCTCCCCCCCCCCCCCCCCCCCCCCTTTCTTCCCCCATGGGGAAGTTCCGTATAGTACAAGAGTATTTCTAGTGCCTCTGTAGATCAGGCTGTAAACACAGCACTCCTGATGAAAGATATACCCTTCTCGCAGCTCTTTAACCAGAACTAATTCAACTTTTGTCTCCCACACACTCTTAAAACACCCTTTCCTGGGATGTTACAGTGTGGGAAGGTAGAGGCAGAGAGAAGACTGGAAGGTATGCTGAGAGGGGCTTTTAGGTAGCGTTTTTGTTTTTGCTGTATAATTGATGATGAAGGATATCATACTGATTTACTTACGTAAAACAAATAGTGTGTTATCTACACTTTGGTAAAGCATTTGGCTTTTCCAATATTTTTTTCCCCATTATTTGAATTCAAAGTCTTGAGGTATTTATGGAAAAAGCAAGAATGAGAATTTTTCTTAAGTAAGTCATTTATGCCCAATTCTGTGGGCAGCTTCAGCACATAGCGTTGCCTCAATTTCTGTAAAGTTCAGACTCAGAAAATAATTCAGATTAACACAGAGGAGTCACAGAGTAATTCCTCAATAACTGCTGGTGTGCACCAGCTTATTCTCTGGTAAATGAGTACAAAATAGCTTAGGATAAGATATATTGTTCCTATTAGTAGGTAAGACAACTGCAAGCACTGGAAGCACTTTATGTGCAGGAAGCAATAATGAGGTGGTATGGGAGCAGCTGCACCAAAGCTGCTGAAAAAAGTCTCATTATGCTATTTTTACTGTGCAAATCAGCAGTCCACAACAATTATTCTAAAATTATCTAAGTTCATCTAATTTTAAGATGAAAGCCTGCTCTCAAAGATGCCCTTTATCAGAGTGAAGGTTTTGATAGCAAGTTTTCTCAGGGTTAAAAAGAGCCTTCAGTCACTGGCTAAAAATAAGCAAATAAAGGGCTCCAAAACTGCATCACCTTTCAGACTGATCTATGATAAATAAAATGATGGCAATTTTGTTAAGCATATAAGGTTGTGTTTTAGCATTTTGAAACGAGATTGAAAAAGAACAACCTTGTTAATAAATAGGAACTGTACTGTTTCATCACCCATAGCCATGCTGCAGTGTGCTTTGGTCACGCTATTAATGGACTAAAAATCTGCATTATAAAAAATGGTTTGTAACACTGCTACTCTTTCTTTGCTAAAATGACAGAAGCAATAAATCAGACTCATCTTACATAAGCCTTTTACGTCTAATGTAAGCAACTCCCTGAAATGCAGCTGTAACTCTCATATCCAAATAATGAGTTTGCGTGTTTAAAAGGGAAAAAATACAATAAACACTAAAAGGAATGCAACAGGCCAAGGCATTTTTACTATTATGAGAACTACATGTTCTTTACGTTTTGTCAATGTACATCTTTCAAGAAAAATAGAATAGTACGGTTTGACAAGACCAATGAAACTGTACAACTGTCAACAGGACATGTCTGCACCTTTTTAGTTTTGGAAGCATTGCTCACTGCGATTTATCTAATACATAAAGTTTCTCCAAATACCGTGTAGTATGTATGAAAATATTTTATTTTTTTTTACAGATCAGACAATAGCTAAGCTTCATACTTAGTCCCATTAAAAATAGCTGTTTTCAACGAATTAAACCAAACAATTATTTTTACATAGCTTTACAACACAAGCTCTACCAAGCTAATGAAAATCTCAACTGACGCTTTCTGACGACCTCCTAAGTAATAAAAATCAAGCAACACCGAGTAGCTACACGGGGAAGGAGAAATACGTACAAGCAACCGCGTCGCGCTGCTTTGCTTCCGCGACTACAGTGGATGGAGCGCGTTAATTTTGGTTCTGGTTGCCGGATGCTGCTGCTCCCATCACGTCTCCCATCCAAACCCGTCAAACAAATCTCGGCTGACCCCCAAACACGGCGCTGCCCTGTAAGCAAAGAGCTCGGGCAGGAAGGCAGCGCCGCGACCGGCACCCGGATCTGACACTGACTGCCCGACTGGGGCACTGGGGACCACCGTCGTCGCTCCGGGGTCGGGCGTACGACCACCGCCTGCGGTTCTCCTCCAGCCCCGGCGGCGGCCAACCCTCAGCCCACTCTATGCCCCTCTGTATCAAAGGCTGTCATTACGCCGCTCCCGCGGCACACGGGCTCGGGCCGACAGCCGACAAGAGAGCGGAGAAACAAACAGACACCTCCGCTTCCCCTCACCCTCCTGCAAAAACCTCCCCAGCTCCCCCCCTGCGGCCCCGCTACTGACTACGAACCGCTTCTGGCACCGCCCCGCCCGCACACGCATGCGCGTCGCCGCCAAACGCCGTCCGCCGCGCGAGACCGCGGCCGCGTTGTAAACAGCAAGCGCACACGCGCGCGCGTCCTCCCGCCTCGGCGAGCCTGCCCCCGCCCCTGTGGGGGAAGGTCACGTGACCCGGCACCGCCCGCCTCCCCCTCCCCGGCGTGGAGGAGGCGAACAGCGCGACTTTGTTTAGAAGAGTTCCGTGCGCGCGCCGTGCGTCCGCGCGGTGGCGGGGGGGGGGGGGGAGGCGCGCGGGAGCCGCACGCGACGCTGCGCGCCTGCGCCGCCTGTCCGCGCGCACACGCTCAGAACGGGGAGTGGTCGGCGGGGAGTAGGGGGTTGAGAAGAGATAAAGGCCCCTTGGGCCCCGCGGTGTGCTCCCGTGCCGCGTTCACGCCCCCGCAGCGGAGAGGGAGTGACCGTTAGCTCCGCCAAGCGGCGCTGCCGCCGCCGCCACCGAGTAACGTTTGCCCCGCCTCGGGACCGCCCCCGGCACGTCCCCGCCCCTCCTGCCGCCGCCGCCGCCGCTGCTGCTGCTGGCAGCGCAGCCTGAACTGAAGCGAACTCCGGAGCGAACTGAGGAGAAGTGAGGAGGCGGCGGCGGGGCTGATTCTCACCAGCCACAGGCGGCGGCGGGAGGGCGGGCGGGCGCGAGGCGGAGCGGAGGACACGCCAGGCGCAGCGCGGCGGCAACAACAGCGGCGGCGGCGGCAACAGCGGAGAGACACCGGCGGCTGCTCCTTGGAAGCGGCAGCAGCGCCCGCCCGCCCCACTCGTCGCTTCCCTCCCCCGCCGCGGAGACAGGGGGCAGCGCGGAGAGGAGAAGCCGGGCTCGGCGTGTGTGTGCGCGGGAGGAAGAGGAGGGGGGACACACCGAGGACTGCGCCGGCCGAGGGCGCACGGAGCAGGGAAGCGGCGGCGGCGGGTCCTTGTGCCCAGCGAGGAGGGCGCAGCCCGCACGGGGGTTTCTATCGAGTTTCCTCTTTTTTTTCGTTCCCTCGGACTCGGCGTCGGGGCTGCGTTTGTCTCCGGATTTGAATCCTCCTCCTCCTCCTCCTTCCTCGGGGAAGCTCCCCTCCCCGCCCCCTCCCCTCCCCCACCGCCTCCCCGCCCGCCCGGATCCAGCCGGGCGCCCCGTGCCGCGGTCGCGTTGCTCGGCGGAGCTGCTGCGGGCGCTCGCCGTCTCTGCGCGGGCTTGGAATATGGTTGGGGAAATGGAAACCAAGGAGAAGCCGAAGCCGAGCCCCGATTACCTGATGCAGCTGATGAACGACAAGAAGCTGATGAGCAGCCTCCCCAACTTCTGCGGGATCTTCAACCACCTCGAGAGGCTGCTGGACGAAGGTAAAAGCGCTCGCCTGGCCGTCCCCTCCCCCGCTCCGCCGCCCGGCCCTGCCTCCCCCCCGCCCCGGGCCTCCGCGCCGCTCCCGGGATCCCGCTCGGCACCCGGCCCCAGCCAGTTGGCTGGGGGCAGCCTGGGGCCTGTTTCGCTCTCCCCGCTGCTCTCCTCACGCTCTTGCCCCGCACCCTGCTCCCCCCCCCCCGCCCCCCGGGATGGGGAGCTTAAAACAAAGGGGAAGTGTGGGTTCTCCCCGCCCTGGCCGCTGCCGTGTGGTGCCGGGGGACTCGCTGAACGGGTTGGAGGGGAAGAGGCAGCCCTGGCCGTACGGCTCCCCGCGATCCCGGGGTGTGGGGCGGGTGCTCCCTCTTGTTTTTTCTTTTCTTTCCTTCCCTTCTCCGCACCCTTTCCTAAAACCGGGGGAAGGGTAACTACCGAGGGGAGGGAGGGAGCGAGGAGAGGAGCTCAGGAATGCGCTCTGGGGGAAGACAGGGAGGAGGGGAAAGGCTGGTTGGCGGGTAGTGGGGTCCTGCGCGGCGCCCCTCGGGGAGCGGCCCGCGGCCCGGTCGGAGGGCCCCGGGCGGGGGGAAAACGGGGGGGGGGGGGGAGGAGAGTGTTTGGTTTCGAGATTTGGCTGTTCTGGAAGCTGCTTGAACTTGAATGACTAAGACGGAGGGGGCTGAGCTCTTTCTTCAACTCCAGCTTTACCCCACCCCAAAGTGGCTACAAACTAATTATAATTTCCCTATATTGCAAGGGAAGCGAACAAATCCGTCTTTCAGCTATCCTTACCTTTTAAAGAAACTAACTTGAAAGACTCCTACGTGTGACTTTAGTGAAGGGAAAAAAAAAAACAACAAAAAACAACCACCCAGAAAAATTACGAAATTGCCTCGTCTGTTCCTGACAAACGTCCGCTGCCGCCCCCAGCCCTGCTCCCGGCGAGGGGCCGTTCCGGTGGGCTGACACCACCCCCAACCCTTTTTTTTACCTAAAGAGCTCCCATTAAGTTGTAGTTTTACCAGTAAATAATTGCAGTTTAGAAAGGAACAAAAAAAGTACATGCTGGGAATTTTGTCCCATATGTCTTATCACTACAGTACTGGAGTTAAAAATCTGCGTTAAAAATCAAGCGATACACTTGTTCTCAGTAATTTAAAATCTGCTTTATGCTTGGGTTCACAGGTTTGCTTTTAAAAGCATTTCATTTCTTACCACCTTTAGGAGAGTTAGAGACACTTGTTTGTTTAATCGTATTGGTAGCTTTGTAGAATATGGTAAAGCTGTAAATTATTTACACAGCTTCAACTTGTTTGGAGTCTTAGCATGAAATACTGAATTCTGAGATTTCACGTTAGGATTCTTGTTTGGACATATTCTTACTTGCTAAAAGAAGTTTGGGAAGTTGTTGACCTCGGAGGATGAAAGAGCTGGTTTTATTTGGTAGAACAACTCCCCACCCTCTCCCAACACTGTAAAAGTGAGATAGTGACTGTAGTACAACAGAAAACAGCGTATCGAGAAAATGCTGCCTTCAGAAATAAATGATAGAGGAGTAAAAAAAGCCCGGTGAAGAATACTGAAAGATGGACTGTGGGAAGAGACATAATGGGAGATTCTATTTTTGTAATCAAGACTTGTGGTGAAATTTGAAATCATATTGGAGCAAATACGGATGTGAAAAGTAACACTAATGTTCTTGGTCACCACAGCAAACACCCTCTTCAGGATAGTTAGATTTACAATAAATATCAAGAAGAAACTTGACTGAGAAGACTCTTTTTAGCATGTTATGAGCTTTCCAGAGGCTTAGTGTTGGATTTTTAAATTCCTGAATCTCTTAAACTTACTGTATTTGGCCAGAGGAGGCCTGAAACTTTTTTTTGTGTGTGTGTGTTGGAGAACAAAAGAAAGAAAAAATGTTTCCCCATATGAAAAGGACACCGAAAAAAGAATGTCTGAAATCCCCACAGCATTTGATATATTTTTAAATACTGAAAGCTCTGGAAGTACGTTTTGTGAAGTTTTGAAGTTCCAAAATGGAAGCTGTTGAGACTTGCTGAAAAAGTTTAAGGATTGTGTTGGAGCTATTACTTTGCGCACTTTAAAAGAAAGATAAAATACATTCTGTGTTGCTAATAGTCTCAGGAAGAAGTCTGCTATCCCTTTAAGCTTTTCTGCTTTTCCTGTTTACGTTGGCAATTGGGTGGAAGTATTGTGGAGGCAGAAAACTTTTTGGAATGTTGAAAAAAATGTTTCATGCAAATCTAGTAAATTGCTTCAAGACTTCAGAATTTGAACACTAAGGGGCGCCAGTTATTTTTTTTTCTGAGGCATGAGGCGGGCCTCTGAACACCATTACTGACTTAAATAGTGAAATTAACAGATTTAATAGAAGATACCAAAGCATGACAAAATACTTGTGGATTTGTGCAAGTATTTGTATTTGCATGGACTTACATATACTGTATGCTTACAAGCAGTATTGCTAGGTGGAATAGTCAATAGCAGTGAACACTTGAGAAATCGGAGCAACTGTTCTGTAAAACACCTATCCTGGTTATTAAAGGGGCATCGTGTTAAATACCTTGAACTATATGCTATGCTGGAATCCTCTGAGGGGTTCAGCAATAGCAACCTGTAGGCTTGCTAGAGAGGTCTGCAAGATCTGGAATGCTTTAAAGTACAGTATTTAATAGTTTCATCAGTTGTTTTATGGCACCTTTGAGAATACCAAATATTAGGGGCATGTGTCTATATATATATATAGATGTATATAATCTAAAAATAGTGTTCCTATGTAGTCTTTGCTGCCTCCCTCTCCCCTTAGAATTTGGTGTGCTGTTTCTAGTTTATTTTGTGCTTTAGGTATGTGTTTGGGGTTTTTTCAGTCACTGTATAACCATCTTCCTGAAGATTTTATTTATGCTTGAGAAGACTAATTACAATCAGCCGTTGTCTTTCATTTTCTGCTGATTGAACTGAAGAAATAAAGTCACAACCCTGAGAATTCAAATAAAATGTGGGATTGCTTTTCCTGCTGGAATGCTAGGCCTTTTTTATTTTTACATGCCAGTATTTAAATAAAACTGATGTGGGCTTGTGTTGTGATTACTTCTTGTAATTGTAGGCACCAATAGCCAGAAATGGACCTGTTGGTCTAGATGAACAGTACATCTAATCTGGTTAGGTTTCAAAACATATATCTACTTCTTTATTCTGTTTCTGTTCTGTCTGTGCTACCCAAACACATTTTCCTTTCTGAACTGTATCTTAGCGTTTGGTCATTGAAAATTTTAGTGCTTTTACCTTATGGCGTTTAGTTTTGAAGATCAGCTTAAATGTGAGAGGTATATGGAAGAAACTTTTTTTTTTTAAAAAAAAAACCAACCCTACTTTATAATAAAATATGAAAGTCATAGTTTTATTTAGGTTATAAATATTTTTTGCATATGTGTGCTTTCAAATTCTTATGTGTAAATAAGGCTTTTGTGGATTAACAAGGATGTTTAAAGTGCACATCATAATAACTAGGAAGCTGGATTGTTTTTATCAGACTAGTGCAAACCTGTGGGAAGAGAGGGCTCTTCCTGAATGTGGAATAGGCTGTATTTCCTGTAATTGTTTGCACCATCGAATGTGACCTGATCTTTTTTATGCTTCAGCTTCTCAAGTTACTAACTTTTGTGGTTCTAACCCAGATTGCTTTTTTGAACAACTTATATGATTCTATGATTCTGTATCTTTTAATGATCCTTTTTGTGGGATGTGAATAAAGTTGCACCTTTTTTCTTGCACTATTTTTTAAAATAAATTGGGTGTTTCAAACTCTGCAATTGCACTATGACCTACTGAAATAAATAAAGTACTTTGGCTTTATTCTTTCTGCAGATTGTGAACAAATAAGCCTGAACCATTAACTGAGATCTGGGTAGTGCAACTTTTATATTTGCATTTTGTTTTCTTGAACCTGTAAGTGGTTAGAATCATGTATATTATTGGAATGTACACACATCAGATCTGTAGTCTGAACTTCTCTTAGATAAGGTTTTGATGCAGGCTTTTGTAGGAACTAATTTTTCCTCTGTAAACTACCTCTACGATTTCTTCCTCCTGTCAAACTTGTGTTGAAGGTGACTTAAAGCGAGTCTACCTTTAACGTGAATTAAGCCCTGCATATAGCTGTTGGAGATAGATCTGATTTTGTGACAAATAGACTGACTCTTTGTGACTAGCAGTTACAACAAAGCTAGCTGTAAAAACATCTAGGTAGGGATTAAGTAGGATATTTTTTCTTGGGTGTTCTGCTCTCTGCTGTGCTCCCTGAGAAAAGTGTGTGTGAACTTGCAGAACCCAGTGACCAAAACTGCAGTTTCCTTGTCAGTCTTACTGTCTAAACCAAAATGTCTGCATAAGTTAGGACTGAAGAGCTGTGTTCTAGTCATGTAAATAACTTCTCAGGAAGAACTCACCTAGTTAGTTTTGTACATTATCTTATTGTTTGTGATTATGTAAATGTAGCTGATGCTTAGCTAGTGTTTTGCTGACTTGTCAGATTTTGTGAAGGGGCATTGGCCACATTAGCATGTTTGGTTTTCAGTTGTATCAGATATTGCAGTAAAAGCCCATTATTTCATTGCCAACTGTGCCTCTTAATGCAGAGTTAAGAGATGAGTATTGTTCAGGATGAAGGCCTTATGATAGGTGCTTGCCCAGAGTCTTAAATTAATTTTAAACTTTGAGTTGTAATGTTAAAATTGCACAAAACAGTGTGTGACAAGAGCATTGAGTATGTTTTGTGTGCTTTGAATATGATTCTTTAATCCTCTCTACATCTTAATGTCTGAGGCATTTTTTTGATTTATAGCTGTCTCGTAAAAATGAGGGTGTAAAGCTTCTAGAACTTAAGTGTTTGAAAACTTCCTAAGACTTGTTCTGAGGTTGTGGGTGGGTTTTATTTGTAATTCGTTGGGAGCCTCTTAAAAACATCAAAACAAAAGTTCCA